CACAATAACCCAACTTATATTGTTTCAAAAAGTGTATTGATTGTGACGTTCGAGTCTGTCTATTCTTGCGTTAATGTAGTATTTGGGATCAACTTGGGAATGGGATCTACAATGTGATGATCCTAAGGGCTTTGAAACTGGTAGAATTTGAATATATTCCATGCGCGTTCAGAGTCTCAGATTCGTACGGTTTGGAACTGGTATAAGACAAAATATTATGGATGTCAAGTTCTTCTTTATTGTATACACAACGTTTCTGGGTTATTCCTTGCCCCTTCGTCAGGTGAATGCTTACTAATAGATAACAGGTTTGGAACGGGTTTCTACGGGTACAATATGCGAACAAATCAGCACAGTCAACACGAGGATCAATTACTCAGAAGGCAAGCTTGAGGAGCCCAAACAGCCTGTTAATAAGTCGCTGTTTGCTTGCGCCATGCCAGCGGAGTTTGATTTTCCGACAAGACTAGAAATGTTCTGTTTGCTCGGCGACCATGTGTTGTACCGTTAACATATCGTGTTTTAAGATGAGTACCAGAACTATACGTGGTCGTGGTCTTGTGAACGTGACGTCACGCAAATGGGGCGGGATCATTGTGGCTGCCAGAACAACACAGTAAATTATACATGGAAGAATAACTTGAGGGTACTACCGAGAAAACCTACTGGCACCAATACTTTTGCCAGTTACATAATAATATAATAATCTTTATTTGCACTGAGAAGGCCACAGGCCTATAGTACATAAAGTTATGTTACATTTGAGAGGAATTTAGATCGGGTAATCATAGCATAGTAAATGAACATTGAAATATTTTGTAGAAGAACTGGATTTTTACTACTTAACAGTGAGGATAATTTTATCACATTTGGATGGACATAGTAATATCATTTAATATATTTTGTTCGCAACCGGTCATAAAATGGACATATTAGGAGAAAATGTAATTCATCTTCTATTTCGTTAAAATTACAAAGTGTACATATTCTATTTTCTCTTTTTACATTCATATATCTGCCTCTTTCAAACAACAAATCATGAGAAGAGCATCTGAATCGTGCAAGTGCTATTCTAAACTTATTAACATTAACACAGAATAGATATGACTCAATAACTATGGCATTTTTAAACAATGAATAATACATGCATTTATTTGATAAGGATATCCTTTCACACCATGTTTGAATATACATATCGTTTAGTCTTGTCGTTAAGGATTGTATGAATAACGTAGGTGATTCGACATATTGTGTATTCCATGTAATTCCAAAATCAATAGAATATAAAAGGTTTTTTACATTGGTTGCCCATTTTTTTGTCCACCTTTATCATATAACAACATCATATTATAACACTTCTTGGGTAAGCGATTTGAAGGCATAATCAACAGTTTTAGCCAGTACTTAATACTTTAATGCTTGTAAGAATGTGCATTGGGCCCCATATGATAAAATTGGACTGACTTTGGCATCAAATATTTTAAAGAATGAAGAGTAGTTAATATTACCAAGTACACTCAACTGTTTCATAATTCCAATTAATGCTTTTTGTCCCTGTAACGCTGCATATTTTACATGCCTCGTCCATGACAGGCCACTGGTGAAATATAGTCCCAAATATTTATAAAAGCCAATACACTCCAGCTTCATACCTTTATATAACCAGTTTTCCTGTTTTGACAATTTGCCTCCATTTTTGAATACAACAATTTTCGTTTTTTCTCTATTTACAGTTAATTTCCATTTATCGCAGTAACTTTCAAGTTCATTAATTTGATTCTGTAAGCCATTAATCGTGCTTGAGAACAAAACAATGTCATCTGCAAATAGCAATAGGGAAATATGAACTATATCAGGGTGGAGTTGAATCCCGTGTACACAATTAGTTTCGATTTGTCGTGCTAACTCATTTATAAAAAAAGGAAAATAGAAATGGGCTTAGTATACAGCCTTGTCTCACACCAAGTTGCAAGTCGAATGTTTCTGAATAATTATGAATACTTTGAATACAAGCCTTAACATTTTCATACATATTGCATAAAAGTTTACTCATTTTACCACTGAGACCGTGGGTATTAAATAGAAGCCAAAGTTTTTTTCGTTGTATTGAATCGAAAGCTTTTGAAAAATCTACAAATAATGCGTAGAATTTCCCCCCTTTAGAGTTTAAATACCTTTGAATAATACTTTGCAGTATAAACATATTATCTACTGCCAGTTACATGCTGGTCCACGTTTTGTCTTTTAAGACGATAATGCTCCAGCAAAACAGGTACATGTCGTGACTGACTTCCTCCAGCAGCCAACCAACGCCAAAATGCAATGTCCCTCAATGTGTGCTGCCTTTTCCCCCCATACAGCATCTGTGTGATGTGATAGGGAGGCAGGTAAGCCGACGTCAACAGCCACGATCTTGGCAAGGCGCTGCAAGAGGAGTTGAATGGACTCGATGAAATTGCCAAGGCAAATTCATTCAGGCCTTACCACGCGGTATAAATGTATGTTTGATCAAAGGTGGGAGCTTGGCCCATTATTGATCATATCAAGCGTTCACTCATTGACTTAACACCTCTGTCGTACATGGTTGCTTGTACAATTACAGCATACCATTACCTTCTATCATTGTATTCATCTATCACCATCACTCAATACTTAATGTGGAGAACATGCGAAGATCCGGGTTGGAATTGGTCTCAGCAGCACATAAGAGGCGACTAACGGGACCAGATAGTCAGGCTCGCTGACTTGGTTGACACATGTCATCGTGTTTCAGTTGCGAAGATCGATGCTCATTCTGTTGATCACTGGATTAAACAACAAACAAACAAAACGTTTGTGGAAAGTAAACCACGGATAGAACGAACTCAAAGGGACTATTAGACTTAGTTCGTTATATCCGTAGTTCGACTAACATATACACAGCAAGTAACCGGGACCAAAACACAGTTCGTAAGATCCGTTGGTTCGTTTTAACATAGTTTACTGTACGTTGACTGAAAGTGAATGCTCATAAAACCAATTTAACAATGAAACTTAAACAATTAACAAACCATCTGGGTGTATTTAGCCCCAAAATTATTGTAAATTTTACACGAAATCCCACGAAAGTCATTAACTAATGAAGATTCAACACTTATCGGACCCGTCAGTGTTTATTGAACGCGTAAGTTATTGTTCATTACAACGGGTTCCTGGTACTTTCTTGTCATCTGGGAGCGTGTCTATCGTCTAAATCGTCGCGATTCGCCGAGTTGCGTCTCCTTGGGGACGCCGGAAGCCAAACAGTCTATTTGAATCCCTATTTGTGTTTCTACAACTGTCCGCATCAAACCCGTTCTTTGGATTCACTAAAGTGGTAAACGTGTGTGACCTGCATCGATCTGGGTTTTCCTCCGACATTAAGCTGGGACACAGTGATGGTACTGGATCCACTACTGTTCAATGGGACGTTAAATCACACTGATTCAATCACTTTATGTCATCATATTCCGACCATATTTAGGAGATAATCCTATTGTTCAACCAACTATAATCACTTCCAAAATGTAAACACAATAGGATTATCTCCATTCTACCATGACATATGCACCATGAATAAAACGCGTTTTAAATACGCACTCATCACCCAACGCGGTAATGAGTGCAAAATATTCCTACGCGCAGTGAACCGGCTCTCAGAAGTGGTTATTGAAAAATTTCACTTCTAATTTTTTAGTAACATCCAATCAAAAACGAACATACTTAAATGTCATGGTAGACTTGCTCACACTATCCACCACTGGGTTATGATTGGAGGTAGAATTACAGGCTGTGGTGTTAAAGCTTATAAGTGAATACAAAGGTAAAACAACGAACCAACAAAGGACATGCATTTCTGTAAAAGTCCGGTTACATCCCAAATGGGCACAACATGTGCTCCTCTCCTTGCACATATATTTGTGAATTCACAAGGATCACAATTTCTATTAAAACAAAGTAACCTGGCCATGACCTTTAACTTAAGCTTCAGACGATTTAATATCAATCAACATGCCACAAATACAATGTAGTCAGATCCCTACCACTGATTTAGGAGTGAGTGAGTGAGTTTAGTTTTACGCCGCACTCAGCAACATCCCAGCTATATGGCGGCGGCGTCTGGGAATAATCGTGTCTGGACCAGACAATCCAGTGATAAACAGCATAAGTATCCACCTGCACAGCTGTGATACGATGACATGTGTCAACCAAGTCAGCGAATCTGACCACCCGATCCCGTCATTCGCCTAAGTGGGGCGATAGGGTAGCCTAGTGGTTAAATGTTGGTTAGACCCGAGTCCGGTGGTCCGGTAATCCACATGAGTACATTGTATAAAGCCCATTTCTCGTGTCCACCCCCATGATATCACTGAGACCCGAAAAGTGATTCGATAAACATGCTCACAACACACTCGCTATTTTTTTCAAATTAAAAAAACGTGTGTGGAGGATAGTTCATTTGGTCTTATCCTGTTCGAGGGGTCCAATATACAGGCTCAGAAAAGTTTGAGGGATGTCGTGACCAAGCTGAATGGACTCATCTGAGAGCCAGAATTTCGCGGTATATGTTTGAAATCACAACCTACATTTCAAATCCTTTTTCAATAACCTCTTGTTATGTCAACGATAATTTGTATGGTTTATATTATTTAGGTCCTCATTGGTAATCGCGTGTCATCGTACCCAAACACACACACACCGTTGAATAATGCCGTCATGAAATCGCAGCAACGACAAATGCTTTCCGTAAGAGACTTGTCAGTCAGTTCAGATGTATAATGTTTTACTTGAAAAAATGGAATTGTAGCATTTTTGTTATCCCCACTCAACCAACCCATTTGGCAATATTTCGCGACCCCTCTTTAATGTCATTGTTTGAGTCAAACCTTCTGTAATCTCTCACTTACTTACACAAGCGCACAGAAAAGCACAAAATTCATCTCGAACAGTTTCTTCACATTTTCCGTTAAATTTTGTTACAGTCCGTCGCAGGTCCATGTTCTACATTGACATGTCCGGGGACCAACCGGTGTCAAGTAGATCGACTTCATCGTGCAACATGTGTTCCAGGTAAACGAACTGCATATTGATATATGAATTTTCAAATATTAAACAAAATTAGTGTTTATTGTTGTGTTTTAGTGTTTAATGCTGGTTTGCGTACGCGGAACGAATGCACAGCGCAAAAAGCATCTTCGGAACTTGTCCACTTGCATGAAAATGTCATGGAGAAAATGTGGTTCGCAATATGCACCTGCTGTTCTGAGGAATTGTGAGCAGGGACATTGCCTATATAAGGCCGTTTTGCTTTAAGACGGTTACTGCGATTTTTTAGCTAAATGAAAGTATATCGTTATGCCGCGACTCAATGCTGTTAATTGAAACATTGCCATAAGACGTCTGGAGGCTGGGGAGTCTCGATCTGCCGTTGCGTCGCATCTCAATGCTACGCAAGTGGTAAACCTCGGATTACCATCGCAGCGCCGGATAGGTACATCCGGGTTCTTCATTTGTGGAATCTAACTGTCACAGCAACTGCAAGTGAAGTGCTTGGTTAGAGGAGAGTTTTGGGCGAAAAACCATTCGTAATCGTTTACGTAAAGCTGGAGCCAGAAGACCGTATTGTGACCCAGTGCTGCGACGACTACATGGACGTCGACGGGTCCAGTGCTGCGACGACTACATGGACGTCGACGGGTCCAGTGGTGCAATGGCGTTCGATTCTGGTATCTACAAAACTGGCGACGTGAATGGTTCAGTGACGAATAACACTTTCCGCTTCAGTGCCGTGACGGAAGACTACCTGTCTATCGATGTCGAAATGAACATTTTGCCCAGAATTCTGTCACCCATGTTGATTGATATGGTGGTGAGAGTGTCATGATGTGGGGAGCCATATCCTACAAGCAGAAATTTAACTTTGTGTGCCTTCAAGGCAATTTAACTGCTTTGCGGTACAGGGGCGAAATCTTAAGGTTTCACATGGTTCCGATCACTGACCGCCAGAGGGAGTTGTTCAAGCAAGATAATGCCAGGCCTCACACAACATATGCCTCTATTCAGTATCTTCAGAATGAGAACGTAACAGTGCTTCCATGGCTTTTCAAATCGCCCGACCTCAACCCCATAAAGCATTTGTGGGATGACCTCGACGTGAACGAGAACGTCAACCGGCTCCCCATACGTTAGATTAACTGTCGCAGGCACTTCAAATACTTATTCAGTCCATGCCGAGCAGTTTTGGGGGCACATGGGGACCACAACAGATACTGAAGACAACGTCCAACTGGGAAGGGACGCCTTCACTTACTAAACTGTTTATAGGCTATACATGTTAACAGACATTTGATCCTTTATACTGTGAAATTTGGCTGCAACCGATGCAGAATTACATGTGTTGTCTCACTTTAAAGCTAGCAGGTTGAATTCGTGAAAATACACCTATGCGTTTCTTTTTATCGAGAGTATATGTCAAAATAAGAGTATGGTTTTACGCGACATTCAGCAATAGCCAGTGGTTCACTGCTCGAAATGGTAAGAAGGAGCGTCACACAGTGTATTTGTTTGGAAAAACGACCCCAAAATGTTTTGATATTTTACTGATTTGTTGAGAACATAATTTCGATGTTGTAGTTACCGCCTCTAGCGTCATCTATATGACAGGTTTTGTTTGTATCATGTTTACACCGTCCTGCTTATGGCATTGGTTTGAAAATGGACCAAGCAATCCAGTGATTGCCATCATTAGCATCGATCTACGGAAGTAAGATACGATGACATTCATCAGCCGTCAGAGAGCCTGACCATCCGATCCTATTAGATGCTTCTGCGACGTGAATGGTTCAGTGACGAATAACACTTTCCGCTTCAGTGCCGTGACGGAAGACTACCTGTCTATCGATGGCGAAATGAACATTTTGCCCAGAATTCTGTCACCCATGTTGATTGATATGGTGGTGAGAGTGTCATGATGTGGGGAGCCATATCCTACAAGCAGAAATTTAACTTTGTGTGCCTTCAAGGCAATTTAACTGCTTTGCGGTACAGGGGCGAAATCTTAAGGTTTCACATGGTTCCGATCACTGACCGCCAGAGGGAGTTGTTCAAGCAAGATAATGCCAGGCCTCACACAACATATGCCTCTATTCAGTATCTTCAGAATGAGAACGTAACAGTGCTTCCATGGCTTTTCAAATCGCCCGACCTCAACCCCATAAAGCATTTGTGGGATGACCTCGACGTGAACGAGAACGTCAACCGGCTCCCCATACGTTAGATTAACTGTCGCAGGCACTTCAAATACTTATTCAGTCCATGCCGAGCGGTTTTGGGGCACATGGGGACCACAACAGATACTGAAGACAACGTCCAACTGGGAAGGGACGCCTTCACTTACTAAACTTTTAATAGGCTATACATGTTAACAGACATTTGATCCTTTATACTGTGAAATTTGGCTGCAACCGATGCAGAATTACATGTGTTGTCTCACTTTAAAGCTAGCAGGTTGAATTCGTGAAAATACACCTATGCGTTTCTTTTTATCGAGAGTATATGTCAAAATAAGAGTATGGTTTTACGCGACATTCAGGAATAGCCAGTGGTTCACTGCTCGAAATGGTAAGAAGGAGCGTCACACAGTGTATTTGTTTGGAAAAACGACCCCAAAATGTTTTGATATTTTACTGATTTGTTGAGAACATAATTTCGATGTTGTAGTTACCGCCTCTAGCGTCATCTATATGACAGGTTTTGTTTGTATCATGTTTACACCGTCCTGCTTATGGCATTGGTTTGAAAATGGACCAAGCAATCCAGTGATTGCCATCATTAGCATCGATCTACGGAAGTAAGATACGATGACATTCATCAGCCGTCAGAGAGCCTGACCATCCGATCCTATTAGATGCTTCTAATGATAAGCATGAATTGATGAAGATGAATTCTAACCCGGATCTTAACGGGTTTGGTAATAGTAGTAGTTCTTCGTAGTAGTAGTAGCAGTAGTAGTGAGTGAGTGAGTTTAATTTTACGCCGCACTCAGCAATATTCCAGCTATATGGTGGCGGTTTGTAAATAATCGAGTCTGGACCAGACAATCCAGTGATCAACAGCATGAGCATCGATCTGCGCAATTGGGCACCGATGAAATGTGTCAACCAAGTCAGCGAGCCTGACCACCTAACCCGTTAGTCGCCTCTTACAACAAGCATAGTCGCCTTTTGTGGCAAGCATGGGTTGCTGAAGACCTATTCAACCCCGGATCTTCACGGGTCAGCAGTAGTAGTAGCAACAATAAAGGTAGCAGTGGCAGTAGAAGTAGCAGTAGTGGTGTTGGTGGTAGTAGTAGTAGTAGTAGTAGTAGTAGTAGTAGTAGTAGTAGTAGTAGTAGTAATTATTGAAGTAATAATATTTGTTGTAGTGGTGTTATAGGTAGTAGTGTTAATAATTCTAGAGGTAGGAGAGTAGTAGAAAATGTGATGGTGGTAGTATTTCAGAATAACTATATCAACTCGCATACCCTTGCCCACACAGCTATGAACCAACGCTCCCATGACGAAAAACATATATATTATTGATGTGCAGACGCATCTGTGAAAACAAACCTATTGATCTTTTGATCTGCTCACGCATTCATGACAACAGATCTACCATAACCACGACTTTTTATCATCATTCCACTGGACAGAGTCATGACAACATCCAAGTATCTGACAACAGAACTGAAATGTGACTGTGTCCTTTAGATGTTGTAGTTCATGGCTGAGGGCGTCAGGGTGGCAGATGGACTTGGCACGTCTGGTGAGGGGGGCTACGATGGCTTGCTTGATCTGGGGGTGATGCCAGGAGTTGTAGTGGATCACTGGCCTCCTCGTGTTTCTATTATATCCTATCACATTTATTACCATGTTGTTTTAGTGTATCACTGGCCTCATGTTTGAATTACATATTCATTCCTCAACATTGTTATACATGGTTTCTTTGTAGTGACTCATGTATGTATATATACATCTATATATATATATATATATAGTATAAGGGGATATGTATATATATATATATATATATATATATATGTATATATATATATATATATATATATATCCCCCTTATACTCCCTACCATTCACCTGATGAAGGAGCAAGCATACACTCCGAAATGTCGTGTTATGCACAATAAAGAAGTTGACATCCATAAATCCTGCTTTTCCTAACAGAACTGAAATAAGGAAAACCGAAACATATGCAAGATGAAAATATAATTGATACTTTTTCATGGCTGAGCCTATCTGTATCGGAATCTATTTTGTATCTTTGAGAGTTCAGAGGGTGTGGTCAACCCCCAGAGGTGACAGACGCTAGCAAGAAGTACGAGGGTCATCACCAGGGTGGTGTAACAACCTACGTCTGCAAGCAGGACTTCACAGCCTGTCATGACAAAGTTACCAGCATCTGCCAATCTTCTGGACAATGGGAGAATCTGATGACTGGTCTGTGTAGTCAGAATGTTTGGCACAGTCCGGTAAGCATTTATATTCCAAGACTCTACAATTGTCTACTTAATTAATATAAATATTATTATCAGAAATAATTGATGTAGGTTTTGGTTCTTTGATTAGAAGTAATCTAAAAATAAATACTTGAATGCAAACGGAAATGACAACGGGAATTATAGGTCGTTTGCGTTTCTGAAAACCAGACTATTTCATTGTTTAGGTATTGTTGAAGTTATAACTTTAAAGCCAAAGAATACAACCACGTTTATGATTACAAATATACGCAAGAAAGTAAATGTTTCATGATCTTCTATTTTGTCTAAATGTTCATCGTTAAATTACAAGCAATTACAAAACATGTTGATATTATTAAACCCTTTTGAAAAACAGATGAGTTTGTTTGTTGTCTGTAGGTCTTGGGCGGTGTCTATCCACTTCCGTGTGGATCATCAAACAAGTTCAGAGCGACTGTCATCGGAACACCGACACCTGCAGCAAGGTAATATAAGATTTTAAGTCACTTTACATAGAATAATGCCGTCTATGATATTTTCTTGAAACAGATATGGGCTCCTTCAGGTTTTTTGTTAGAAGACATTTGACACATACACTGAGCATGTGAACATTCGATAAGTGACGGTGTAGGTGTGCAGGGGCGTATACAGCTTTTTGAGAAAGGGAGGGGTGTGTGTGTGTGTGCACACTATTGAGAAAAGGAGAGGTGCACACTTCGTTTCACCCGAGTTTCAAAGGTCATTTAATACACTTTCAGGGCCAAAGGGGGTTGCGCACCCCTGCACCCCCACACCCCTCTGGATCCGGCTATGGGTCTGGGTGTAGGATGGGTGAGCTTATAGCAGGGATGGGAGTGGTTTGAGAAGGATCGCGGGGGAAGTTGTCAAGGGGAAAGAGTGAAGGTCTGTATGGAGGATGGGTGAGCTTAAAGGTGGGATGGGAGTGGATTGGGAAGGTTCGCGGGGAAGTTGTCAAGGGGAATGAGTGAAGGCCTACATGTTTGCTTTGGATTGATTGATTGTTGTTTAACACCAAACTCAGCAATATTCCACCTAAATAATGATGCATGAGGATCGTACTATGTAATTGGAATACGATGACATGTGTCAACCAAGTCACCGAGCCTGACCACCTGATCCCGTTGGTCGCCTCTTACGACAAGCATAGGTTACTGAAGACCAATCCTAACCCGGATCTTCACGGGTCAAACAACAAATACGTAATGAGCCGGATGCAAACATTCCAGCTCCTTGGTCTCGTGGATAAAGCCTCTGTTCTGAGAGTGAAAGTCCGGCGTTCGCTCCCCATGCCCAGATATCTTGTTTACCCTATCTTGAGACATAAACGGACGCACACACGACCGCACACGCCCTTGCTAGTCACCATATCAGTGGCATAAACACTTTATACAGTTTAACAAAATTAACAAATAAACATAAATATATCAATATATCCTGTGCGTTGCAATGTGAGAGGTATATACAGATATCGATATCACCTATGCGTTGCAATGTAAGAGGTATATACAGATATCAATATCACCTGTGCATTGCAATGCAAGAGGCATATACAGATATCAATATCACCTATGCGTTGCAATGTAAGAGGTATATACAGATATCAATATCACCTCTGCATTGCAATGCAAGAGGTATATACAGATATCGATATCACCTATGCGTTGCAATGTAAGAGTTATATACAGATATCAATATATCCTGTGCGTTGCAATGCAAGAGGTATATACAGATATCCATATCACATATGCACTGCAATGTAAGAGGTATATCCAGATATCAATATATCCTGTACGTTGCAATGTAAGAGGTATATACAGATATCAATATCACATGTGCACTGCAATGTAAGAGGTATATCCAGATATCAATATATCCTGTACGTTGCAATGTAAGAGGTATATGCAGATATCGATATCACCTATGCGTTGTAATGTAAGAGGTATATACAGATATCAATATCACCTGTGCGTCGCAATGTAAGATGTATATACAGATATCAATATCATCTGTGATGTGTTTGAGTGTATAGGTCTGTGACTTTACCTCTAAGTATTGCAATGTATGATTTCAGCCAACACAGATGGAATATCTGGCTTTGGAAAGACAACGATGTACTTTTGTTATCAGAGTTCAGATTTCATTTCGATACCTACATAAATACAACAATCATGAACAGTCGATTTCAAGATACCTGGAAAACACCGGTCCGCACTCCAAGTTTACCCATGACTGTCGGACAAGAGACAGAGGTCAGGATAACACTACACAGTGGAATATACAGGGTATGTGTCTGTCTGTTTATATTCAGGTTGTGACATTTGTATTGAAGGTATTTCTTGCCATCTGCGTTTTCCGTGAGTACGTTGTGTGGGGTTGGACATTACCATACCTTTAACATGGTCTGTATTGTGTGTGTTTTGAAGAGGCTTATAGAAAGTAATTTCAGCATGACCTAGAACGAGTACTTTGTGATGAGGCTGAGACAAACTTAGAGCATGACTGACTGAGTTTGGTTTTACGCCGCTTTTAGCAATATTCCAGCAACATCACGGCGGGGGACACCAGAAATGGGCTTCACACATTGTACCCATGTGGGGATTCGAACCCGGGTCTTCGGCGTGACGAGCCAACGCTTTAACCACTAGGCTATCCCACTGCCCCCTTAGATCATGAACTGCTATGGGTGGGATGAGTATTTGGTGAGGAAGTTAAATAAAACACTTTAGCACCGGAATCATGACTTTGTGATTGGACCTAAAAGAAAACTTCAGCATGGCCTGGAGCGAGTGGCTTATATGGTTGACGACAAACCTTCAGGATAGCGTCATTGTAGTACAATTCTCTTTGTCAGATGGAACCAAATTAAAATGATAAAACGAACAAATTATCTCTAATGATGACTCTTTATTTTACTTTCAGCTGCAAATCGATGGCAAGAACATGCTCAACTTCACCGAGCAAGATGCAGGAGCGGAGCCTGTATCAATCTCTGTAGAGGGTCATGTGTCACTTCGAATGATAGAAATCTTGTTGTATTAACTTACGTGACACAGGTTAGGACTCTTAGGCTCTAGGGCTTTTATTGAGTAGGAGTCAGACATTGAGAATACAACTCACGTAGATTCAGATATATTCCTGAAAAAAAAAGAAACGCAAAGGCGTTTTTCAGTTATATGCTCAATGTATTGCATGAATGGTCATCAATAAATGTTCACATTTGGCATACGTCATTGTCACTGACATACGTGAAACAATCGAATGTGAAGGTGAAGGTCATCTGTTCTCAATTACTTGTACAGGCCTCTTGAGAGTTCACAGTTGCCTGTCGTCATCGCCCCATGGAACCAATTAGATTACGAATTGTGGCCTGTGGAATGTCTACCCACTCTCTCAGCAGCGATTGTGCCAGCTTTTGGAGGTTCTGTGGCTGTTGTTGACGTAATTGCGGACGTTGATCAAGAGCTTCTGATAACGGTTCTACGGTCTTGTAATGGTGCTTGACCATACGTAGATACAATGGCGTTGTTGCTTGAGCTTCTGTCAGTCGCGGTATGTTTTCACTTTTCAGTTGCTGTACATCAAGTGAAAAAACATCGTTGTCATACATGTAGGTTAACAATTCATTTTGCACGTTCATTTCTTGTGGGCGGCTTTCTTGCGTTCCCCAACATTAGTTATTTTAGGGCTGTACTTTATTCTTCCCGCACAAATCACACCACAGGCATTCCGACATGGGAAATCCATATTTGGTGTTCATTTTGTATGAATATCAGCAAACCTCCGTCAGATATTTCCATTTTTTTTCAACCTTTGCGTTTCTTTTTTTGCAGAGTATATAATGTACGACTCACGTAGACTCATACCTTTAGTTTGCCTTGGAGCCGACGCTTTGTAATTCTTGGGAATGAGATAATGGAGCTAGGGAGAATTTTTATTGAAAGCTGTTCTTCATCACTGTAACTTTATATTAACATTAACTGACGACTGTCGTAGCGCTAATTTGATCGTTACTCCTATTCTTTAACATATACTTACGACTGTAATAACGCTTAGATCGCTTTGCGGAACGAGTTCCTGGCTACATGGTTACATTGTGTCAGTAATCCACTGACTAATCCTATCATTACTGACGCTAATCCCACGTCAGTAATAACGAAAGCTGTGTTTTTATTTTTATTTGTTCAACGTCACATTTAATAATATTCCATCTACGCGGCATAGACCTGTACGTAATCGAGCCTTGAGCAGACAATCTAGTGATTGATAATAGGAGCACTGGACCACAAGTAGGGGTATAAGGATCAATCAGCCAAGTCACCGAGCCTGACAACCGATCCATATGGCCAGCTCTAACAATTAACCATGCGTTGCAGGGTAATATTCTCTCCTACAGTCCCCAAGAGGCTACAGGCGGCGAGGAAGCCTAGTGGTTAAAGCGTTCGCTCGTCACGCCGAGGGCCCGAGTTGGATTCCCCACATGGGTACAATGTGTGAAGCCCATTTCTGGTGTCCCCCGCCGTGATGTTGCTGGAATATTGCTAAAACCATACTCTTTCACTCACCCAAGAGGTTACATACAGCATATCCTTTGTCTTTGTTACGTGTGCCATTAATAATGAAAATCCCACCTGTGACATGAGCATCGCGTAATTGTTGCATTCACCTAATTGACTTCATTACTTCAACTGGCTTGTATTGTTCTCGGTATTTAAAAATCGGTCTCGGTGGAGAATTCAGAATGCTTATCCTTCTTCTTTGAGTGGCATTTTAGAAGTTGGGAAGTACAATATAGAACAAACTTTATGGATAACAACTTCTTTTTATTCGTGAGTGCGACGTTTCGATACAGATTCTTGTACCGTTGTTAAGCATAATGGAACATGAAGAAGGGGGAAGTGTATATATACTGGATGTAACAATGTAACAAAGAAAACAACATAATTGGCTAGGCAGAAAGTTGATGAAGCCAGAGAGTAGACAAAGGACAGGCGTGGAAGCCAATGATGTACAAATAATAATGAGATGTTATACAGCAGAGTTTATACAGTAGATTGGGCTTGGTGGATGAGTGCATCATAAGCGGATGGAATGAAGTATCCTTGGTCTCGGTTGATGGCGGGCTTTTGGCGTTTGATGTGGATGGCTTCGGTGAGCTTGCGTTTAGTGAAGTCTGTTTGTTTGTTAGAGAGAATGGTGATGTCAGACCACTCTATTTGATTACTGGGGCTTGCTTTGATGTGGTCGGAAATGGCTGATTTGCTGTCGGAATTGGTAACAGAGGTCTGATGTTCTTTCACTCGGGTGTTGATGGGTCGGGAAGTTTCGCCTATCCATAAAGTTTGTTCTATATTGCTTATCCTTCTGCAATGTCAATTCTAATCCACACAAAGGTTAGACCAAACACAGGTGCTTCCTGTGCACAGAGCTCAGGTCACGAATCAGTTGAAGTTAAGCAACGTCGAGCTCGGACAATCCTTGGATGGGTGAACTTTTTTGGCAGCTTGACTCCTGAGAGTTTCTAGGACTTCAGTCCTGCCCCACAACGAAGCAGATGTGATACATGTGGTCTCACCTTAGGCAAGTGAGTTTGTTCAAATTGCCTCTGTTCACCCAGCAGAAAATGGGTACCCGGTTGGATAAAGTCATGTGACTATAACCTTCTAGCGCCTAACAGGCAGCTTGGGTTATCCGGGTAATAAGAATCAGATTCTGATTAAGCGCCGCGAGCAATCACTTGGTGTTTGGAAACGTGCGCTGTAGAAGATGACTTATTATTATTATTATTTATACCTTGTTTTATAGTTATGGATGAGAGACAGTGAGGCATTTGTAACCATCGTATCATTTACCAACTGCATCGAGCGTGTAAATACACATATGTATATTGAGTACATGTTGTAAAATGATACCAATGTATACTGTTAATTTGCAGTCGGTTGTAACGTGTTTGTGTTTTTTGGCTAGGTGTGAATGTTATGTGTGTGAGTGTATGTGTGTGTGTGTGCGCGCGCGCGTGCGTTTGTGTGTGTGTGTTTGTGTGTGTGGTCTGTCCGTGTGTGTTTGTATGTTTGTGTGTTTGTGCATGAGTGTGTGCGTGTCAGTTTAGTTCTGTGGATCATGAGTGTATTTGGTCTATGTCTATTTTCTCAATGTACGTGTACAATACGTGTATGTTTGTGTTTTGGTACTGTATACACTGTGCCTGTTTTCAGTGTATGCGCGCGCGCACACACACACGCGCGCATACACAAACGATTAAATGTATCACTCAGCACTACATCTGTAATGTTAACATATTCCTCTGTATCTAAGTCAACGTGAAACCAATGCTCCTCAATGGACATCAGTTCTGTTGTTAATTGTTTCTATGTTGATTTCGATAAACATGACTCGAATCGTGATGCACCAGTGGAAAAGTAAAGAAATTAAGTCAGGATTGGAGAAATACATTTGCACGTACGGTAAAGAAGCAGTACGCTGTAGCAAATGTGTTGTGTGTCGTCGGAGTAACCGACTGTAGTGCCAGTAAATGCCAAGTGTTGTCGTCGGCAGCGAGAGGCTCTGACAGTTATCGCCCTTGTTCACATGAAGAATCAAGCTTGATCGTCGGAGAAGTTTCGGGATGGGACAGTTTCCAGAAGGTTGTGTGTACCTGTGTAAGACTTGTGTCTTACCGACTTGCGATGTGAGCGCATAGGATGCCTTATTATGAACCCCGATTGCCTTCTACCTTCGACAACATTCTGGATTGAGACCTGTTTCAAGACATTACACAGGAACAAAAATCTGAAGATTGGTGAACATGCAATGATATGTTTCTGCTGCTGTTGTCAACCATGTAACCGATTTCAATGCATTGATTGTTTGTAAACCTAAAACTGCGTGTTTCAACACAACTGACTGATTATTCATTGATCTTGTGTTGTGATATTTCACAGTTCAGTTCTGTATGTAATATTTCTTGGTTAACCTTTCCGTTTCAATTTTGTAATCAAGCATCAAATGAAATCATGCTCTATGTTGTCATATGTCTCATCCAATGTATTCCCAAATCAATAAATACATCATACAAAGTCAAGATAGGAATTTTTACAGATCACAATATATCTCTTCATGCTGATTCTTAATTCTAAAACAATAACCATGGGATCTTCCAAATTTAAAGACAGCAGTACGGTCAGGTTTTGTCTGTATAAATATCTATTTAACCGTTTCATCTGGTTTCAGATGTGTTTCCTTGTCTTCAAATGCCTTAGAATTTATTGATTTTAACTGTTCTAGTACTACCTTATATCAGACGATGAGTTATTCTATGGTATGGAAGTAAATAATGATATTTTGATTGTTGAACATCCATGTTGGCATAGTAGCTAACTTCAAACCAGGATGGCTTACGTTAACCAGCTCTTGAGGACCATTATCTCCACTTCTTATCCAGTACAGTGATTTTAAGCCAACAATTAAAAGCTATATTTGGGATCATAAAATTTTATGAATGTGAACCATAAATAGGTCATGCCTACTTGGTGTTTCATTGAAGACATGTTGAGATGATTCCACGAAGATATCGCATTGTCTGCATAGTGAAGAACATCAACCGGGTTAAAGCTGATCAATAGTAATTCATGCTTGTCGAATGCTTGGTGACTTTTAGCAAATATTGATATAAGCGTTCTCATTTGTGTGAATGAAGCATAATGTTTGAAGCACGTACGAAGTGTTACATTTTCCTCATATTGTTCCCATTGATTACAAATGCACAGATCCGTGAAGATCCGTGTTAGAATTGATCTTCAGCAAAACCCATGCTTGTCGTAAGAAGCGACTAACGGGATCAGATGGTCAGGCTCGCTGACTTGGCTTGACACGTGTAATCATATCCCTGGTGCGTAGATCGATGCTCATGCTGTTGATCACTGGATTGTCTGGTCCAGACTCGATTATTTACAGACCGCCGCCATATAGCAGGACTATTGCGGCGTTAAATAACAACAAACAAAACAAATTCACAATTTCCCTTGAAATCATCAGTATCAACAGCCCGTTACGAACACGTGACAGTAAAAACAACTTCTAACTCATAGTGACTGACTCACTGAGTTTGGTTTTACGCCGCTTTTAGCAATATTCCAACAACATCACGGCGGGGGACACCAGAAATGGGCTTCACACATT